TTGATAATAGTTGGCATCATAAAATGTATTAGGAAACATTCCATCTTGTGCTTTTAAGAACAATTTGAGTAAGGTAGGCATCAGTTCTTTAAAAGTTTGATGAAAGTCATTTGTAAAGCCATCTGGTCCTGGGATTTTGTTTGTGATCAGTTTGTTCAGTTCATCTGTTTCAGATTAAGTTGATCTAGAAATTTATTCATTTCTTCAGTTATCAAATTTATCAGCACATTTCTCCTCTCTCATTTGTGATTTTATTTTTTTTGTTAGCCTAGCTAGATTTTATCTATTTTGTTTAATTTTCAAGGAGCCATCTCTCAGTTTCATTAATATTTTGTAGTCTTTTTCATCTCTATTTCACTTATTTCCACTCTTATTTTTATTATTTTCTTCCTTGTGCTAGATTTGGGTCTTACATTTCCCTCCTTTTTTAGTTGCTTTAAGTGTGATATTTGGGTTGTTTATTTAGGATTTTTCTTGCTTTTTAATGTGGGCCTGCAAACAATTCTCTTCTATAGTACATCCCATAGATTCTAGTAGTTTATATCATTATTCTTGTTCGTCCCAAGGTATTTTTTAAATTTCTGCGTTGGTTTTCTCTTTTATTCAGTTGGTATTATGTAGCATGTTATTTAATCTCTATGTTTTCATAGTTTTCCCTTTTTTTTTCCTTCTTAGAATTGACTTCTAGTTTTATGGCACTGTGGTCACAGGAGGGACTAGGTATGTGTTTGGTCTTGGTGGTTTTTACTGAGTTGGGACTTGTGTCCCAAGATATAGTCTATTATTGAAAATGTTACACATGTTCTTGAAAAATATGCATATGCAGAGGTTTTGGGGTGTAGTGTTCTGTAGATGTCTGTTAAAACTACTTGGTCTAGCTACTTACTTAGATCTGTTGTTTCCTTACTTAAACTTTGTCTTGTTGATCTGTCCCTTACTGTTAGTGGGACATTAAGATTTCCTAGTTTAATTGTGTTGTTATCAATATCTCTCTTTAGTCCTATTATTGTTTATGTTTCTAGGTGCATATACATTTATGAATGTTATTTCTTCTTGTTCTATTAGACCATTAATCATAATATATTCTTTATCTCTTTTTTAACTTTCTTAATTGCAAGTCTATTTTAATCAGCTATAAGTAAAGCTGTTTCTATTTTGTTGTTAACATTTGTTTGTATATCTGTCTTCCAACCTTTAACTCTCTCTACTTGTCCTTGTTGGGGAGTTTCCTACAAACTGGACTTTGTGTTGAAATCCATTCAACCACTTTACATCTTTTGACTGGTGAGTTCAGGTCATTTAAATTTATGGTGATTATTGAGATGCAAATGCTTATTGACATTTTTTTATGTTTTTGTTTTGATTTGTATTGTCTTTATTTTTTTGAGGCCTCTAATTATATTTTGTTTAGCTTCCATTATATATTTTTGTTCCTTCTGTTATTTTTGTTGGAAGGTTCTACTGTGTTTAGTAGATGATGGGCTACTTGTGTGATTTGTTTGATCGTGGGGTCTCTGGCTGTTTCTTTCTTTCTTTTTATTTTTTTCAAAGATTTATTTATTTATGCATACAAGAACTGGGGTACAGGCCAGAGATGTGGAGGGTGAGAGGACCCACCAGAGACAGAGTGGTGAACAGAATAGGCGGACTGACTGAGATACAATGCTGAAGGGAGCAGCAGGCGAGTGTGGGGAGGTCTGCTGTGCCATGTGGGCAGCTACCTCTCTGGGGATTGAACTTGTGCTGCAGTGACTGCAGATAGCTACATAGGTTGCATCTTAACCCCCTGCACCACCAGGGAGGCCCAGTCTCTAGCTGTTTCTAATGGGTCACCTTGTTACTTTCCTCCTCATCCATGTTAAATGATAGGCATGAAAGGATCACAGCCAGTAGACTCAGGAATTTGAATTCTTGTGTGAAGTGTGTCTTTATGGAGGATGGCAGGTATTTTTGAATACACCAGCCTGGGCTTCCGTAGTAGCCTCTTCTATAGGGAATTTTAAGTGCTCTTGTTACCTGAACCCAGCCTCCTCAGTGGTGGGAGCTGTCAGCAGCAGTGATGTTCTCTCTCCTGCTGCTCCCCCACAAGTCAGTTGTGGCAGTTGCTCCTCAGAGCCCAGCAACTGTCCTTTTACTTCATGGATTGTGGAGTGGACCAATCAGGTCCAAGGTATTAGCTAACTGGTGCTGAATGGTCCAATCAGCCATAGGATTTAAAAAGGGTCCAATCAGACCTACGGGTGTTGCACCCTGAAAGAGGACATAAGCCAGGGTCAGCGGGTGCTAGTACAAGATGCTGCACCAGCCTCCAGACTCTGTTCCAGGCCTCTGAAGAAAGAGGAATGAAGGACCAGAAGCTGACATCCAGTAGGTGACCTCCAAGGAGGGAGGAGAAGCTGAAGACCTCTATCAGACACTGGGCCTCTGGTCCCGTCTCTGATGTTTCCTGAAAGGGTCACCAAAGGCCCTGGGCCTCGTGTGTCAAAGAGCTGTTATCAATTGGTATCTCTGACACCACCTCAGGGAACCAGTAGTGACCATCACTACTGGTCAGTGCTATCCAGCACTCCTGGTGACTAGTGACAGGCACTCTGCTTGTACTTCTGGCAGACACTACCTGGGTGAGATAGCCGCTGCTTGTGGCTACGGTAAGCTCTTTGTTACCTCTGTTTGTAAAATAAACCCCGTGGTTGTTGTTCCCTGAGCTTGAGGTCTCCTACAATAGTGCACTGATGAGAATGCACAAAGAGTGACCTGTCCTTTATGGGGCACTGTCCTTTGTTCGGTTATAGCATACAGGCCCCTACAATATGGGTGATATATTTCTATAGCCCTTGGTCTTGGTTTTCAGCCTTTTGGGGCTCTTTGGCGGCTCTCTTGTCTTAGAGCCCAGGCAGATAGGTAGCCGTTCCGGCCTATCCTGGTATCCCATCATTTCCTATCCCATCTTCCCATCCTATATGCCCCTGTTTCACTCTGGCCTGATTCAGCCTACAGCTGTTCTGTGTTATGAGCTTCAGATTTAAAGCCAGTATTCCTGGCTCTGTGCCCCCAACCTCAGGTTCTACAGCAATGCACCCTCCATCCCAGGAGCCTACTCTTGCACTCCATTATCCAGCATAGTTTCAAGTCTTAGAAGCCCAGATAGTGGTGTGTGCCTCAGTCAAGAGCTTTAGGGGGCTCAACATCGCAGTAGCTCCTCTCTTTTGTGGGTCCTAGTGCCCTGCAAAGTTACCACTTTAAAGTTTTTCCTACCCCTCTTTGTTGGGCTGATGCTCCTATTGCGTGAAACGGTAGTCCCTTTTCAGGTTTTCTTTAACTTTGGTTAACAACATTTTTGTTGTGCATGTTTGCAGGGGAGTCATCTTCACTTTGCAGCCCTCTTGCCAAACATCTTGCCATCTTTTTTTTTTTTTTTAAGATTTATTTATTTATGCAACCACTGGGTACAGTCAGAAGCACGGGAGGGTGAGAGAATTCACCAGAGCCAGAGCCGGGAGCAGAACAGACAGACCAATGAAATACACTGCTGAGGGGAGCAGCGGGCGCAGAAGGAGAGGTCTGTGCTGCCATGTGGGACTCTAGCCGGAGGCCAGGGATCATACCGGCATTGCAGAGGCTGTGGGCAGCTTCGCAGCCCAGCGCTAAACCGCTGCGCTACCGGGGAGGCCCCATCTTGCCATCTTGGCTTACATATAACAAATTTCTCTCACTATAGTGTGAACATCGGTGTGGCTAGACAATAAATACCATACAATTAAATAAAACATTTAAATCTTCTATAGATTCAACTATACCCTAAGGACTTGGAATTTATGCCTTTACTGTTAAAGGGGAGATTAACAAGTGTGATCAAGTTTGAAAGAGAACTAAAAAGGGAGTAATTTTCTTATCTAGTGATAGAAAATAATTTAGGAACCATCTGTTAAAATATCACTAAGGTAAACAATGGTGATTAAGAGCACACACACAGGAGACACATTACCTGGCTTCAGGGCTTGCTGACTATCCAGTCCTGGACAGACAAAACCTCTAAACATCAGTTTCCTCATTGTTACTTCATGATAACGTTTTCCCTCAGTGACCTTGATTCTAAATGCAAGTAAAGCACAAAACTGAATAAATATTAATGCTTATTACTGTAAGCCATTATCATTATAGCATACCTCACACACGTTTTCACCTATTAAAAAGTTTACTTATTTTTTAATTACTGACATTATAATAAACACATAGTAGCATACACTGGGCTCTGCTTTACCATATTTGGTCGTGCATGTATTCTATAACCATTAGTACTCAGTACTCCCATTTAAAGGACTGCGATCTCTATTTTTTCATTTTTATTTATTTTTAAATTTTTTAATATTATTTTTGCATTTTTTACATCATAGTTCATTTTTAAACAAAATTTGCGATCTCTATTTTTATCCCAAGGTCTCCACAGACGAAGTTTTATATATTTATTTTATTTTTTTAAATAATAAATTTTATTTTTATATTCCCCATACAATTGCAACCCCCCCATTTTGACCCCAATCCCTCCCCTCCCACCACCCACCCCCCAAAAAGTGTCTCTGGTTCATCGTTTTTTGTTGATTTTGATTTTCACTTTCTTATAGTTATTCATTTTCCTGGTCCCTTATTTAAGTTTTCTAGATTCCTGCTATGAGTGAGACCATCCGGTATTTTTCTTTTTCTTTCTGGCTTACAGATGAAGTTTTAGCTCGAAAGGATCACAGTCGGAGCTCGTCCCCTTCCTTGGGGCAGATTCCAGGCACTCACACCGCGGAGAGGCTGGTTGACAAGTGAGGCCACGCCCCACCTCCGCGCCTGACCCCGCCCCTAGCGCCTGCCCGGAGCCCCGCCCCTGACGCAGCGTCCCTCCGGGCTCGCCCCGCCCCGTGAAGGGTTCGGCGTCCGCAAGCGCGTTGACGTCACGGGCGCCGCGCTTCCTGCGCCTCTGCGCGCCTGCGCCTCGCGAGGAAGGTCGTTCCTGTGACCGGCTTGGCGGTAGGAGCAGTTGTCGCCATGTTGTCGGCCGCAGCCCGAGCGGGGCCGTTCGCGCCCGTCCTGTCGGCCACGTCCCGCGGGGTGGCGGGCGCGCTGCGGCCCCTAGCGCAGGCCGCGGTGCCCGCCACCTCGGAGCCGCCAGTGCTGGACGTGAAGCGGCCCTTCCTGTGCCGGGAGTCGCTGAGTGGCCAGGCCGCGGGCCGGCCTCTGGCCGCCTCCGTGAGCCTCAATGGTGAGCCGGGCTGAGGGGAGCGACCGGGGCTGTGGGGTCCCCCCTTCTCGCTCCCTCCGGCCCTGGACCCAGGGAGCGGCCGAGGAGGGCGGGGGTGTGCGGGGAGAAAGAGCGGTGCGGTGACTGGAGATCAGGCCCCCGGACCGGTCGACCTTGCGCAGGCCCCTGCGCCTCCCCGGCCGCGGCGCCCGTGCCTGGGGCGGGCGGCCCGGGGGTCGGCGCGCGCCCGGCCTCCGCCTGCTCTTGCTGCCCGGGCTCTTGGGGGAGCCTGAGTTGGCGAGTCGGGGCTCCCACCGACAGGCCAGATTTTGTACTTCATCGATAAGTTCGGGGACCCCGGGGTCCGACAAAGTCTTTGCTTCCGGCAAAGATTTTGCTGCTCACAGATCTGTTGACTTTGGACAAATTTCTAAACGTTTTTATTCACCGGGAAGCGGAGTAACGATTATACCAATTTCCGAGATACTGTCGTGATGTTCAAATGGAAGGATTTTATGTATAACCATTAGCACATTTCCGGGGCCCCTTAGAAGTGCTAGAAAAGAAAATAGCAACGGCTGTTAATATTTGGGAAGTCCTGCTCGGTGGTGACCAAGCCGCTCATCGCCCTTCCCACACTTTCACCTCCCGCCTCCAAAAAAAAAAAAAAAATAGTAATAACATGAGGCCCAAGGTCATTTTACAGTGTAGAATATAAGCAGTGTTTTCAGGCACTGGGCCAAAAGGTTTTCACAGCAGTAATTAAAGCTGAAGAGGAGCAACAGGCAGAGGTTGATGATAATCCCGTTTCAGAGACGAGAAAATAGACTCGGAGAGGTGGGACACTTGAGGGGGATGCACATTCTTTTACATGATAGAGCATGGATTTGAAAGGCAGGTTTGCAGCCCTGAGCTCTTGTCAAGAGTATGTTTCACACCCACTTCCAGCAGATCCTAGTTTACCCTCTGTGCTTTGTTTTAAATGCGATGGCTGTCTGTGGGCAGTGTTCCTGTAGTCTGCCCAACCTGCATAGTTTTTGGAGTCTGACAGAATCTCTGGGGTCTTGAAATGTTGGAAGCCAGCAAAACTGGACTCTCACTTTCTACATGGGAAGAGTCCACTGCACTATGCCTTGGAGCAGGTGCGCCTCAGTTCACCGTCCTCCACAAGCCACCTTCATTTATTGTGTTCCTTCTCCTCCCTGCCCTATTGGTGCTTCTGTTTTAACTCTTGCCAGATATTCGGACCAAGTTGCCCCAACTCTGTTCTACTTCACTGACCCTTTTCTTGGCACTTAGGTGATCTTTCCATTCAACTCTCTGTATTTCCAGGTTTTATACCCATTCTTCTAATCTCAGTTCAGGATCTTGTCAATAAAATTTTTACTTGCCGATTCCTTTATTTCTTAATAGCACGTAGCATTTATAGCCTGCATTTACTGAGATCATGATTTCTCTGATTTTAAGGCTGAGGGAAGAACTCTCCTCCAGTGTTGGATTTTGCATATAATTGGTGCAAAATATCTGTGAATGAATAAAGTGAAAGTTTTCTTTTTTATTAGGGAGCACCAGTGGCTTTTGGGGAAACTTCAGGGCAGGAACAGGCTGCTCTAACCTATCTCAAGCCTATTGGACCTGGAGGTGGGATGCAAAGGGGAGGAGGACATTTAACAAAGGTGTAAAGCATCTTTGCACTTTGTCTTAAGACTAAAGTGTCATCTAAAAATTAGTTTACCTGACCTTCAAGAATTGGTAAAGCCTCTTTTATTTAATCATTCCTTCAACTTATAGCTTAAGTTCACATTAAAATAAAGCCAGATGGTTTGTGGAAAGATGTCTAGTAGAGGGAATGGTTGGGGAGACTTGGATCAAGTTGGGGAAGATTTCCAAGACACATCAGAATCACCTTAAAAAAACCAAACAATCTGTTAAAATGCCTGAAGTTTTCTCAATTTCTAGGTGATATTCTTTCAAAGAGTTTGATTTTTATTTTAGAACTAAATTCAGCATCTTTGCTACTAAAAGTCACAATATTGCTCATGTAAAATTAGAATATTTTTCAGCATGGTCGTTCAATTTCCCAAAATGTTTTTGATGGGATAACTTTATTTGTAACCTGCTACACAGAATGGATGAGTAGACCGTTGGGTTTCTTTTTCCACCAAATCTGTAGATGAGATTGAATCCTTTTTAATTTCAGTGTACCTGTGTTTGCCGTGTGTACTGTTTAATGGTTAAGGGTGGTAGTAGGAACATTGGTCCTTTATTTTTCACGTATGTCATGCATGTATCTTTTCTGTATAATCCCAGAAAATGCTAGGGCAAAGTAATCAATGATTGATTCCAAATCCAGTCTGCACTAACAGGTTATCGTTACATGGGGGTAGGGTAGGGTAGCAATGATGTGATGTCACTTTGCTGTAGTCGTGACTCTCAAATAGTCATTATCTGTGTTGGGTTAGTAAGAAAAGTACATAGTGTGATTTTGATAGGTTGTATTATTGTTTATGAATACATAGTTTCCATAAAATTGACCTTGAGAACCATGTGAAAAGTTGTCGATGTTATTTATTATAGTGTTTGACCACTAAAGAAAGTATATTAGGATGAGACAGCTTAGGCCAGGAATTGCAACTTATATCAAAATGCATCTTAGAATTTTTCTTTTAAAAATAAATTTCCAAAACTAGAGGCATTTTTATGTCCCTTTTCTAAAAAGGAAACCTTGTGGCAAATTTCCTAAAATGAATATACAGCTTGCAAAGAAGGTTGCTTCCTAAAATATATGTAAAACCTTTATCAGTAAGTTAGCTTTTTGTCAGACATTTATAATTGGTGTGGGACAGAGATTATCTTTTAGTTTTTTCTTAAACTACTTGCATCCAAAGTACTACACAAATTATGTTTAACATTCATTTGATACAAACATTTGGTCATTTTTGGTGGACAGTAGTGTCCCAGTTTAGGGACTGATAGAAATGGAAAAGATAATGACCCTCCTTCTCTAGAAGTTGTTGCTCTTCGATAAAGAGGGGGAATGTATGAAGAATATGCTCTTTTTTTCCTTTACTAAGTTGAAATTCTTTTGGAGATTTGATTTGATTTTGGTAGCCACCTATGCTGATAAGGATGTCCTCTGCTCACTCATGGTTTTACTTGAAGTGTACCCTAGAGTGTAAAATAGAAACCTTTAAATTTTCTGCAACTTAAATTAACTTATGTCTTACAGGATATTATAATCAGTATTTTAGGACTTTTTTTCTTTTAAAGAATTGGTAGGTGGGTATATAAAGTTAGACATTTGGTTTAATAAGATGATCACATGTCACCTTAAAGGGTAGACTGTGAATTTTAAGGTCCCTTTTAATCCATAGAATATGGGAGCTAGTTAGCCTCATTGTGTAGTACGTCTGGACAGGTTGATTTTTATTTTTTGAAAAGATTTGTTTATGCATAGAAGAAATGAATTGTAGGCCAGAGGTGCAGGGGCATGAAGAGGATCCAGCAGAGACAGGGTGGGGAGCAGAACAGGTTGATTGACTGAAATACACTGCTGAGGGGAGCCAGTGGCTGGCGATATCTTGATAGCCCTAAGACTAACCCCTCCCTGCACCACCAGGGAGGCCCCTTGATAGGTGGGTTTTTAAATACTTCTACTTACAGTGGTATTTAACTTTAAATGCACTGAGTTGGTATCAAATTAAGTGTTCACTAGAGGAGGAGCTCAATTTACTGTTTCATGCCAATATAATAGTGATTGACTTCATTTTGCTTTTAATGTGTTATATGTTGGCACTGCCTACTTTAATCGATTCTGACAACAGTGAGTGCCCATATTTCACATTTTTATAATTTGATTTTTTTTCTTGTAAATCCTTTTAGATCCATTTCCTGATATATATTCCTTTCAGGATACTCATCTAACTATGTTTTTTAATTTCTGTTTATTTTGCAGCCCCTGCGTCTGTTCGTTATTCACATACAGACATCAAAGTGCCTGACTTCTCTGACTATCGTCGCGCCGAAGTGTTAGATAGTACAAAGTCTTCAAAAGAGAGCAGTGAGGCTAGAAAAGGTTTTTCGTATTTGGTAACTGCAACTACTACTGTGGGTGTTGCATATGCTGCCAAGAATGTCGTCTCTCAGTTTGTTTCCAGCATGAGTGCTTCTGCTGATGTGCTGGCCATGTCGAAAATTGAAATCAAGTTATCTGATATTCCAGAAGGCAAGAACATGGCTTTCAAATGGAGAGGCAAACCCCTGTTTGTGCGCCATAGAACCAAGAAGGAAATTGACCAGGAAGCTGCAGTTGAAGTGTCCCAATTGAGGGACCCACAGCATGACTTAGATCGAGTAAAGAAACCTGAATGGGTTATCCTGATAGGTGTTTGCACTCACCTTGGTTGTGTGCCCATTGCAAATGCAGGCGATTTTGGTGGTTATTACTGCCCTTGCCATGGGTCACACTATGATGCCTCTGGCAGGATCAGGAAGGGGCCTGCACCTCTCAACCTTGAAGTTCCCTCATATGAATTCACCAGTGATGACATAGTGATTGTTGGTTAGAGAACTGGACTCAAGTCATAGTCTTCATGGTCACCTCGGAAGAGTTATTTGAGAGCAAGCCGCCTGTGCTTCAAGTTGGTTGATTTGAAATATTTAAAATTGCTAATAATGTATATGCAAACATTAATGTGAAGTAAACTTAATGTTGAAGATTTTAAAGAATTCACCTAATAAAGCCACGTTAAACATGTGAAGTTCGGTCAAAGACTTGAAAGGTGTAGTGTCTTTATCAATTCTAATTAAAAATTACAGACCTGGTGTACAAGATATTTGTGAAATTTGTATTTGACTGTCATTTATATACCTTTTGCCAGGGATACAGGTTCTACAGAGCTCTCGGTAAGGATAAGTTAAAGTTAGCTGGTGATTCCTAAGACCTAGGAGATGTGTATGGCATTGGCTGGAACAGTAGTATCCAGGTTTCCTGTCAGTTCTTTTGGACAAGTCCTAGCTGTGTGTTCTACCCTTCTCTGTCCTGCCAACTTCCCCCCGCCCACCCTGTGTGTTGAATGTAATCTGTGGGAAAGCCCTGATGGAGGGATTAGCCCCAGCTCCAGCCAGCTAATTTCCTACCTGTGTGACAGCTCAGGAGATTTTGTCACTTAGAAGTTAGTACTTGGAATGTGTCAGTGTTCAGAGGCAGTGGTAGGATATTATCTGAGAGAAACCCTTGCGCTGGTAACAGCCTTCATTTGGTGCGAGTATGTCCCCAGAGGATCCCGTCTCCTCCCTCTGAGAGGCAGGAGGGGCGTCTCTCCCTCTTTGAGAGGTGTCCGTGACTTGCATTGTCTGTGTGTGAAAATGATCCTGCTCAAATAGTGTTGAGGTGTTTCTTCCAGTTAGATCTGCAGTCACCATTTTTCATTGTGAAGGGTTGACACAGGGAAACATCAGCATCTCCTCTCCTCTCCTCTCCGGCCTCTAGTTTGCACAGGTGACATAAGACCCATCTGATACTTTCCCTCGTGACTTGGTCCATCTGTGATCACATCTGCCTTTGTAAAATAGCCAACTAGGTGAAGTGGTTAGACCTTTGGGAATTGGCCACCCATAGTTTGTCTTTAATATGGGTAATGAAGTGTAGCCAAAAAAATGTCATTTTCTGTGCTAATGAGCAGGTATTAGTGTTTGGTTTATTTTTACCATTTTGCAAAGATTGGGTGTGATTGGTGGGGTGTGTAACAATAGTGTTTCTAGGTTTCCAGATCATACTTATAAATAGTAGGCAGAAGGTCCCAAATATTAATTTACTACTTTTTATCTATTTAGGAAGGACTTTTTGACATTTTGAGCATGTGTGGATTATCAAGGAAAACCGGGTGGTTAAAATGAGATTGTATCATGTGTAATCAATATAGGTATGTAGTATTCATGTTACTATTTTGAACGCCTCACATAAAGTCATTCCTCTTTACATCACAAAGCCGAGAGGGGTGGATACTTACTAAATGAAGATGGTGTTTTCCTAATAGGGGGAAAATACTTTGTTCTACTTTTTCATGGTGCCAGATACCACAATTTGCTATTTAAAACTATTATCAGTGTATCTTAGAAACAAATTTTCATGTGACTTCCATAGTCAGCCTATGTAAAACTGATGTTGCTCCTTCCAGCATGATTGAAGCTCTGAGTTAGTATATCCCTGGTGGTTTGTGTGAGTTGGTAGTGTAAAAAGCACGATGATAAGGAGCTACTGCAGTTGGGGTTGGATGGGAAGCAGGAATGCAGGTAACTCAGTTGTGAGGGGAGATGCAGATTCAAACACTGAAGAGTGGAGCTGCATAAAATGTCAATAGCACAACTTCCTGTAGAAATACACCCCATATTATCATCTCCCACCCAGAAGGGATACCTAAAATCATCTTTGAGATGCCAAAACACTTGCATTAGAAGCTAAATGACAATGGAGGCAAAAAGGTTGTCGGTGCCTGGATGGAGCCCTGGCATTCTGTACTGGAACTGCTGTATCATCTGTGAGCTGCTGGAGTCTTCTTGGGGTTTTGACATCATGATGTTAGGGTATTAAATTTCAGTATCCTGTATCCTTTTTTTTTTTTTTTTTAAGAAATCTTTGTCTTAACAGGTGATAGGACATGTAGAGTTACTTGATATTACCTTGCTATGTGGGTTTAACATACCTATGTTAGCTTTTTAATTATTTCACAGATAAAATCTTAGCAATGGAGGGAGGTGGCTTAAAAAACTAGAAATTTGATGAGTTGGCATTCTGACATCAAGTCATTAACATCTTTTAACTGGGAGTAATTCTTGGGACAATCGAGATACATGCTTATTCATAAAAGGCTTTTAAGACAGGCACATAGAAGTCCCTTGTCTAGAAGCAAAAAAAAAAAAAAATTAAAAAAATTAAAGGCTTAAATGGCCTTTAGAAAAATTGTATTATTAGAGATAACTATTTACTTTGGTCTTTTTGAGCATTCCTTTGTAAAATCTGGCTGACTCAATCTGAGTATGTGCTTGATACTTATGGCTTGAAATTAGAGTGTGCTTTGATACCCTAATTTTTCTAGTCAGTACGACTATTATTTATCTGAGTATCAGAAGTCATCACATCCATAATGTTGAAACTGGTTTTATCTGTATTTTAATGCCATTTGAATATCATTGTATATTAATAAATCTGCATATTTTTCAGAATGATATTCTTGGTCCGCAGTTCTAACACACTTTCATTATCGCCTATCTGCTAATGACACCCCTAAACTACTTACCTGAGCTTCATGCTCTCATCTGATTTCTTGCTGGGCATCTGTGCATGAATATTCCATTAGCACTTTAAACTCGAAATGTCCAAAAGACAAGAAAATCACCTCTATTTCCTGTTGTTATCATTGCAGTTGTAGTTTTCACATCTGCTACATAACTTTTAATCTTCCCTGCCTCCTTTTCTGTTACCCCCCTCCCAGTGGACACACATCAACCCCCAAACCCTGCCAATTGTATTTCCTTAATAAAACAGACCCTTTATCATATGTAGGTAGCATTCTAATAGCAAACTCTTCAGTACCAACCCTTTGTTACTAGGCTAATTGTACTCCCATTTAATCCTCAGATAGCGACACTGAGGCACATAGAAGTACCTTGTATATATAACTAGTCGTTGCCTGGAGCCAAAATTTCATTTTAACCCAAGGAGTCAGTTTAGAATCTGTAATCCTCATCACTGTTCTCTACCACCAGTGCCCTGAAACTTTATCGATTTTTGTGTGGTCTACTGCAGAAAGATTCCAAACAGGTGTTTCTTCTGCCCTGCAGTCCTGTCCCCATAAAATTCATCCGCTACGTAGTTACGAAGTGGTGTTGATGTTAAGAGCAGGGGCTTAGTTCCTGGAGTCCAGTGTGGCTCTGCCATTTCCTAGACCTGTGATAGGGATCTGACATCATTACTTAATCTCTCTGTGCCTCTCTCTTCTGAAATATGGTACATCCCTTCAATGTTTCTTTCGGAATTAATGCATTAATGTACGTCAAGAGGTGACTTGGAAACAACACAACTACTGAGTCTTCCTTACCTGCCTCCCATCAGTAAACCTTTTGTTCCCTGTATTGGTCTTGTTTCCTGTCTGTCTGTACTCTTTTTTTCTGCAAATTCCTTTTTCCTTCCCTTGTCTTAGCTAGGTTGTCCTCTGCCTGCCCTTCAAGACTGCTTAGGTGTGGTACTCTGCACTTAAATAACATTTACTTTTCCAAATAACCCAGGCATATCCATTTATGTTATCCTCTGTTGTAAAGTTTGTTCTGTTTGTTTATCTCCCCACCACTACAAGGAGGTGGGGTGGGGACCCATGGTACGTAAGCAGCTTTGCTGAATGAAAGAACAAAACAAACACAGTGAGTGGCATTATTTGAAAGGAAAATTTTCCAGGGAATAATTTATAAATATCAGGTCTAGCATTTAAAAAAATAAAACAATCATGTATCTCTAGGATTTTAGGTCAGGAGAAATGAACTATATTACAGAATATATTTTATATTTTGCTTAGACTTTATTCCCAGAAAAAAATTGAAGACTAATGAATTCATTATCTAAAAACCCCTGAGATTACTATTTTTACTTGCTTCCCAAAGGAAGCTTGTATAAGATGTAAATGTCCTTTAGTTCCTTTAGGATTTTCTTTTATTTTTTTAAGATTTATTTATTTTTATACAAGAACCAGGGTGCAGGCCAGATGCACGAGAGGGCAAGAGGATTCATCGGAGACAGAGCTGGGAGCAGAACAGGCAGACTGATGAAATACACTGCTGAGAGCATCAGCGGGCACAACAGGAAAGGTCTGCTGCCCCATGTGGTATTCTCTCCGGCTGGCCGGGATCAAACCCGCGCTGCAGAGGCTGCCGAAAGCTTCATAGATCGGTGCTCAACTGCCTGCGCCACCAGGGAGGCCCTAGTATTTTATTTTCAACAACTTGAAATGCAATGGACATTTCATTAATTCTACCATTTCTTCTCTTTTGCATTCACTTTCCATCCTGAGATTTAGGAATGGAACATTTTGCTTAGAGGAGAACATTTTGCTTACTGTTAACCAGCGGTGAATTGATCAATTCTTCTCTGAGGTAGGAAGGATTGGGGATTATTTTCTTTTTCAATACTCAGCATTACTTATTGGAGGTTAAGAATGTCCGAAGATAGTAATGACAGGAATGTGAGATTAAGATAGTTTCAACTTTGAGATTCTTAAAGGAAACCTAAATGCACAAAAGAAAGATTGTTTAAGTGCTTGCTTATGGGGATAGTTATAAAAATTAAAGATCAGATATCTCTGGTTGGCAGCACAGGATTAAAATTAATTTGTGAAGGGCTTCAGCAGTATCTTTGTAATAACTTCTCCATAACAATACGACTGGTCTATCAGTGAACTGAATATCCCAAATTCAGTAAACTACACTTTATACTTTTGAAACTATTATCCTAAACTTGGGACAATTTGAGTGCAAAAGCTTAGAAGGCAACTGACTTTTGAAATCCTTATCTGATTAGAATATTTGCAAATGTAAAAAATGAAAGTGCATAATAGATTTTTCTCATACACTTTTAAAAGGGCAAACAAAACCTGACTCTTCAATCAAAGGGGAAATAACACTAATGCAATTCACATAATTGGTCTAGGATGAGTATCTGAAATTTGTCATTTTCTTCATCTGTGCATGGCTAAAATTCCAACTCATAGGTCTTCCTTCAGC